GTGGGACACAACATGAAAAAAAAAAAAAAAAAAAAAAAAAAAAAAAAAAAAAAAAAAAGCTCTCCAAAAATAAATAAATAAATAATGACCCAATTGTTAAGTGCCAAGACAGCAAGTACCAGGTGCTTGCTTGGAGGATATATTACAAGGCTTGGGCTGATCAAGGAAGGCTTCCCTGAAAATGTGACATGGCCATATGCCATTTAAAATAGTGGTTTTCAACTTTAGTGACACAGGAGAATGACCCAGTAAACTTAAAAACAAACAAACAAAAAACCATAAACAAACAAACAAAAGCTGACACCAGGACCCCATCCCAGTGATTCTACTTAAATAGTCTGGAGTAAAGCTTTGACATGGGTATTTTTAAAAGTCCCCCATAAGTCACTTCTGTGTCATTTGGCTAAGATCAAATGTAGTAAAAGCTCCTCAGGTAGGGAAGGATAGGGAGGTTAATCAGATTGGGAAAAGGACCCAGAGTTCAGGACGAGATTCCATTCCTTATTCCAGGAAGCTTGCACAGTGTCTGAAAAATGTAACAAACCACAAAAGGTTTATTGGTGGCTGTTCAATAAGTTGGAATCTTCTGATATTTAACTTTAAGACCACCTTCACCACTTTCTATCTTCTGCATAAAATTTATCTTTGCAAGGGTTCTTTGCAAGCAAGAAAACTAACTGGACAATTTAAGCTAAATTTTTTTTGAGTATTATAAAGTTATGAGATGGCTCATTGAGCTTGACTTTGGGATAAAATAGGGAATAGTAGAGTTCTGAGGTAGAAGTAGTGTGAGAGGCCGCGCACCAGCAAATATCGCCCTTAGGTTTCGGTTTCTCAGAGAGCAAACAATCACACAATGACAAAGGCCATGATTGGCTCCCCTTCAAAACCTCACCTTCAAAACCATACTCTGATTGGCCACTTCCCATAGCAAATCGGTGAGCTTAGAATCCCTCAGATTTGCATATCCGGCACCTCATGATTGGTCCACAAAAGCAACCAATAATAACCCACCTTTTACAATCCTTCATTTAACCAATCACTGCCCACCAACATGTATATAACCACGATCCCTGACCCATAATCGCCAGACGACCCTGAAGAACCTGAAGAGTTGTGACACCGCGTCATCTCCAGACTACCCTGAAGAGTTGTAACACTGATTCGTCTCTGGATGACCCTGAAGAGTTGTAAAACTGCATTGTCTCTGTGTTGTAACACTGCATCGTTTGTCCAGTCTCTCACTCCTTCCCTCAGGAAACCTGTTTGACTGTCCCCCTGGTCGGGACAAGTAGAAGAATCAAACCTCTTCAGGGTGATGCCATTTGGGTAACTCAGTTGCAGTAATTTTGGTCCTTCTTCCACCCCTCTCAGGACTCATATTCAAAGGATAGGGTTCCATTGACCTAGCCATTTAGGGACCCTGTCCATAATCTTGGTCAGGGGATGATGGGGTCTCTTGATGGATGGTCCCAATAAGAATGCCTGCCATGGGACAGGAGTTACTCCATGAAGATGGCCAAAACACTATTAGGTTGCTTCAAATGCAATTGTGGTGGTTTTGGACCATAAATTTTAAATCATTATAATTAGACTGAAACACATCTTTATGAGTCAAAATAGGAACAATTACAGTTAACACATTTTTATGAGAAATAAGTTTGTTTATTCCTGTAATATAAAAATCCATGCTTTGGGGTTTGACAAACTCTTGGAAAGCATCTTCGGCATTCTGCTAGTTGTGGAGGTCTATTCCCTGCAAAAAGTTGTTGAGATGCTTAAAGAAGTGGAAGCCAGTTGTCCAGAGGTCAGATGAATATGGCAGATGGGGCAAAACATCCAGCCCAATTCATTAAACTTTCGAAGCATTGGTTGGGTGATGTGCAGTCAGGCATCATCAAGGAGAACGGGGTCCTTTTTGTCGACCAATGTCAATGCCTGGCATTTTTGGTGCATCTCATTTATTCACTAAGTATACTTAGAGGTAATAGTTTTGCTGGGATTCAGAAAGGTGTAGTGGATCAGACCCCAGCAAACCGTGACTCTTTTTTTTTTTTTTTTGGTGTAAGTTTGGCCTTGGGAAGTGCTTTGGAACTTTTTCTAGATCCAACCACTGACCTGGTCATTGCCAGTTGTCATATAAAATCTACTTTTCATCTCACATCACAATCCAATTGAGAAATGATTCATTGATGTTGCTAGAATAAGAAAAGAACACACTTCAAAATTATTTTTTTTTTTACTTTCCATCAGCTCATGAGGCACCATTTATTAATCTTTTTCACATTCCAACTGGCTTCAAATGCCTAATGACTGTAGAATGGTCAACAAGAGGATCAGCTTCAATGATTGCTTTCCTATGGTCACGGGCAGCTTCTAATTGCTGGCCACTACGCTCCTCATCCTCAAGGCTCTGGTCTCCTTTGCAAAACTTCACTAAGCATTCTTAATGGGAATAGTTTTGTTGGGTTTCAGAAAGCTGTAGTGGATCAAACCCTATCAAACTGTGATCTTTTTTTTTTTTTTTGGTGTAAGTTTGGCCTTGGGAAGTG